CCCAGCACCAAAAATCACAATTTAAAAGCCACGCCCTCCTAATTATCATTTCAGCAGCATAAAACCGTGTTATTAATACCAGTATAGAACTAGCAAAATTTGTAAGTTAATCTCCTACAATTCCAAAGGTTATGCAATGTGTCTACTCAAAATACCACATCTGTCAGGTCTAATTAAAAAAAGAAAAAAGAATTGTCCCTTCTTGCTGAGCAGTGGTGGTGCACACCTTTAATCCCAGCACTCGGGAGGCCGAGGCAGGCAGATCTCTGTGAGTTCAAGGCCAGCCTGGTCTATAAGAACTAGTTCCATAACAGGCCCCAAAGCTACAGAGAAACCCTGTCTCAAAAGACCAAAGAATTGCCCCTTCTTTTTGGATTTCAGATTCAGTTCTATGTATTCAGTATGTAATTATGATTCTTTCAAAAATTTAAACACAACTATGGTGCATATTTTTAAGTACAATATGATAATTCAAAGCACAAATACAACATGTAACAGTCACTTCTGAGTAATTGACACAATTTACCACATCAAATGTGGATTATCTTTGTTTTGAGAATAAGATCTAAATTATATTTGCCAACACAGATTTGTTTCTAAGGTAATATAACAAATATAATCAATAGATTTTTATAGCCCGCTAGATTCAACACTTAGTATTAATGAATAGTATTTTGAATATCCCCGTGGGAAGTCTTAAAAATGTTAATCTTTCTTGGGTTTAGAAAGATGGCTCAGCAGTTAAAAGCAATGACTGCTCTTCCAGAGGACCTGGAATTCCTAGCACCCACATGGTAGCTCATAACCATGTATAATTCCCATTCCAGGGTATCTGATGCCCTCATCTGGCCTCTGTAATCACTAGGCACGCACATGGTGTGCAGACATACATGCAGACACACACCCACACGCGTAAGATAGAAATAGAAGTTGAAAACCTCCTTTTCTTTACTGATACTCACTTCTCTTTCTGCTTTCTCATTTTCATACTGACACAGTTTCTCTTTGAAGTGACTGCACTCACTGACTAACTCCTTGTTTCTGTCTTCCAGCATCAGCCTGTGCTTCTGGCCCTCCGCTTGGAGTCTGCCTAGCATATCATGGAACTGGTCTTGGATATTAACTATCGTCTTGTCTTTGCTGTCGGCTTTGTTGGAAGCATCGTCCAGCTGCTGTCGGAGCAGCATGTTCTCGCTCTGCAGCTGAGACAGCCGCTCCTCTATGGATTCCTGCTTTCCCATGTATTTGTTCACCTTCCCCTGCTCATCTTGGTACAGATGCTCAACCTCCTTCATCTGGCACTGTGTCTGGTTGAGGTCTCTTTGGACATGCTTCAAAGCCAAAGTCTTTTCTCTAAGCGCATCTTTTGTATGATGAAACTCAATTTCTAGACTATTCATTTTTCTCTCAGTTTTAGAAAGCTGTTGGGAGAGAATCTCATTGTTATCTCTGAGGTTAGACAGATCAAAGTTCATCTTGTCTTGCAAACGAAGCCACTCATCTCTTGCTCTCTGGAAAGCAATTTCTAGGTCTCTTTTCGAGGCCTGAATTTCAGCATGGTCGTGCATAGCTGAAGCCAGTCTAGAGCGGAATGATTCAACGTCTGTTTCCAGTCTTTCGTTATTTTGTTTTTCATTCTCCAGCTTAGAACTCAGCATTGTATTCTCAGTCGTAAGATTATTAAGCTGCCCATTATACTGGAATATTGTTTTTGTAAACGTTTCTTCATTTAGCTTTATTGTTCTTTGAAGCTTATCACTCTTTTCATTTGCAGTCTTAATATCCTCAAGATACTTCTTTTCCTTTTCCTGGTTGTGGCTTTTTACTGTGTCCATCTCCAGTCTTAGCATGGCAATTTCTTCCTGCAACCTCTGGTTCTTATGCAATAGATCTTTTTCTTTTTCATGACTGACAGAAACCTAGGAAAGGAAGCAAACATTTAGCTCTCACAATTCCTTATGGAATTTAGGAACAGCATGTGAAGTCTACAATCTAAGAACTGAAATACACACATGCAACTAAAAATATCTAATTTCTGAGCTTAGAGAAACCTAAGTTTCCAAAAGTTAATAAATGTAATTGAAGACAATGACTTCATGAAATTAAGAGAGAAACGATACTTTCTAAGAAACTCAGCGCGGGAAAGCTGTTCTCTGGAGGACAACAGGCTTAAGGCACAAAGCAAAGATTATTAAATTGGCTCACATTTCACATTAGGAGATGGTTTAATGCAAGCGTGAGGATCAGAATATGGCTCCCCAGCACCCGTGTCAATGCCGGGGTGTGTGGCAACCCACTGGCAGTCCCAACACCTGGGAAGCAGAGAGGGGAGATCCCGAGGGCAAGCTGGACTGGTCAAGACGGTTCTGTGAGAGGGTCTGCATCAACACCTGAAGTGCAGGGTGCAGAGTGATCAAAAAAACACCAAGCATCCACCTCTGGCCTCTACATGCATGTACATACATGTGCTCCCAAACAGATATGAACACATGGTCACATTATGCGCGCACATGCACACGCGCACACACACACACACAAATTAGGCTTCCACTTTAATATCTAACATATACAACTGGTCCAAAGTAAGAACCTTAGTTCTTTTATTTGGACAGAAAAAATTTCCCAAAGTTCTTTCAATTCCTTTTTTTCAGAAAGTTTTTCTAACCCCTTTTTAGTCTGTTGTAGCAACTACATTTGTTGATAAATGCTTAAAATAAGCACTATACAAATAAGTATGCTTGCACAAGAGTGAACTAGCCACCTCCATTCTGAAAAGGAAAGACTGAAAAAGTAACAAGCTGCAGAATTCCCAGGTCCCCTTAGCTGGCTGCTAGTGCTCCTTCTCCAAAGCACTTGCTCATATGCTAGACAGTGGGGGAAAGCGTCTGCCATCTACCCCTAAAACAAATATCATGTATACATACATATGGTTCAAAACCCTCTATATTTCCCACGGTGCATAAAGGTAGGCTCTGAAAATATGTAAGTGTATAAATGCACACATATTTAGAAAACTAAAGAAAGGACCTCGGAAGTCATTCTCTTCTGCGCCATTTCTATCTCCTTTTGCTTGCAAAGGTGATCTGCAAGAATCCCATCTTGTAACATTCTGGCATTCTGCTCTCGGGAAAGCTGCCTCTGAATCTCATTCCGCTCCTCTAGAACCTAGAGACACATCCATAAAGTTTTCAGTCTCATTTGTGCTGCTGTGGACAGGGCATCTAAAAGCTCAGTTAAGAGTAGAACAATGAAAACAAACCGGAAGCAGCCTATGAAAACAAGTGATTCTATTCCATATACAACACTCAAATTTGTACTACATATTATAGTTAAATTGCTTAAAAAACAGAAACAGTTCTTACAGGCAGACAGAGTATTGCAAACTAGTTTGTTACAAACATTTAGCCAGTTTTAACACAGTTTCAAAGACAGCCTGCATTTTAAGAGGGCCAGACTAGCACTTCTTTCCCATGGTAAACGTATCTTCCATTACCTCACTTAGAAAGGATGTCTGTGGTACCTATTAGTTTCCAAGAGTAATAATAAATAATTGCCGCTATCTGTATTAAAATTTATTCTTAGCATGAGGCACCACTGGTCAACAATGGACTGAATATAACCTGGCAGCCCCACACAATTACATCAACTAGGGATGAGGCTGATCTCTGACATCATCATGAAGTTTGCACAACAATAATGAAACCAATAGATATTTTCATTAATGATACATGGAGATATATATGTGATACATAAATATAATATGTAATTAAAGTGACATTAAAAGTACAACAAATAAAGGTAGGACTAAGAAATTTTTATCAGTCAGGAACACCTTACTCCTAGCACGTGGGAGACAGAGGCAGGTGGAATTTCTGAGCTCAAGGGCAGCCTGGTCTAGAGAGTAAGGCCAGGACAGCTGAGGTTATGTAGAGAAACCCTGTTTCAACCCTGCCCCCCTCAAAAAAAAAACCACCCTAACCAAACAAAAAAACATCCCCAAAAGAAATTTTCTAGAATATTAACATACCTGGTTCAAATGATTTCTTACGGTCTTCAACTCCATATCCAGTGTCCTGAGAGAGACTTCAAGCTGCTGCTTCCCCTCGACCTCGCTCTGGTATTGCTCATCCTTCCTCCTAAGCTGCTCCATAGTTTTCTCAGAAAGCAGATCTGCACTTCTCCGCTTCTCTTCCTCTTGTTTCAGTGCAAATCTGAAATTAAATGTCTTCATCATAAAACTGACCTGTTTATAGAAAATGAAGTTCACTTTATGACCTGGACCTCACAATGGTGACGTGGTGTCCTAATAAAACCTCTGTTGTTAAATATTTGTTTCTCTTTTTGACTCTTGAGTTTAATTCCTCACTTCAACCCCTTCTAAAGGCCATATGCTCTTGATGATAACAAGGATGAATAAAAACTTTAACTGGCAAATTTCTAGAAGTCTGGTAAATATTATTAAAAAGAAATTTTGAACTTATTCAGTAAAGTTACAGGTTAATAATTATCCTTTGTAGGGATAGAGAGAAGGCTCAGTAGAGCACTGGCTGCTCCTCCAAAGAACCCAGGTAGAGTTTCCAACAACCACATGGTGGCTCACAACCATTTAGAGCAACAGTTCTAGGGGTTCTGATGCCCTTTTCTGGTCTCAGCAGCCACTGCACACATGCAGTGCACACACATACATGTGGACAAAACTCCCATATACATAAAATAAAGTTAAGTAAATAAAAAAAGGGAACTATTTGGGGAGCAAGTGCACATTCTATAGTGGATTGAGACTTTATGAGAATTGGGCCTTGAAGGCCCACATGGTTGTGGGCTCTTGTCCAGCAGGAGGGTGTTCACACAGGTGCTGAGTGAGACAGCAGTTATATTGACTTGGGTAGCAGAGATGTGGCCTTGGGAAGTTGGGAGGGTCCTAATATGTAGTGATTTGATTCCAGTGGGTGGGGCTGACCCTCTCATCTGGGGAGGGTGATTAGCCATGATATGACAGGCTAAAGTAAGGTATGAGAGACCTTTAACAAGATGCTGGGGGAAATGTCTGTGGCACAAAGAGATGCTCCCCACAGGTCTTCAGATGAGAACACCGGACAAAGGGGCCTTGGCCTCGGCACTCGGCCTCAGGTGGGCAGAGATGGGGTGCTGAAGAGCAGGGTAAGTGTGGACTCTACTTGCAAGCAAGAGCTGCAAAGGGATCCTGGATGGCCAGCTCTGAGAGCCAGGGGGCACAGTGGGCAATCCTTCTGCAGAGCAAGCAGGAAGTACGGAGATCTTTGGATGAAGGAGGTGGAAAACCAGGGATGGAAGGCTTGGGATCAACTTACCAGGAAGAGGTAAAGTTCTGCAAAGCAAGGGGTGGGAGCCCCAGGATAGTGGGTTTATAGCATCAAAGTAAGGAGAAGATGAAAACTGAAAGCAGATTAGAACTCTGTCTGCAATGTGGGTGACCGCAGTCCTGAGAGGTGGGCTGTGATGTCCCAAAGAGCAGAACAGGCCTTACTGGTAATGTTTCAGGCACAGGTCCAGTCTGGGGGCCTTGGGGAGGGAGGAAGGTGGTCTTTATTAGCAGCATGTATGGAGGGAGTCCTGGAAGGGGGCGGAGTCTGAGGTGACCAAGGGATGGTAAAAGGAGAACCATTAATGGTGATGTATTGGGCGTGGGTCCTGGGGAGGCAGTGGGGTTGGAGGACCCAGAAGAGGAAGGAAGATCCTTTCTGGAAACATATGTGGAGGGGATTCTGGGAGGGTTGAGTGTTTGGAGTGGCTGAGGCAAGGATAATAAACCTATGCTGGCACCATGTGGGGGCAGTGAGGAGACCTGGGAAGGTGGTGGGGGCTTAGGGTGGCCGTGAGTTGTGTAGCAGGTCCTAGGGAAATTACAGGGATCTGGGGTAGTTATGGGAGAAGGAGGGCAGGCTCTGAAAGGCGATGCTTGTGGTGTTAGTCCTGGAAAGGCAGCAGGGCTTGGAGCAGCTGAGGGAGAAGCTAAACCAGACAATCCTTACTCCTCATACACACTGTCAACAAAGTCGCTATATATAACAAACAACATATAAAAACCAGCAGTCTGTCTTTACACCAGAAACGGATTTCTTGAGAGAGGAATCTGGGGAAAATGCCATTAACAATAGCTTAAAAGCCAAATAAGACAGCACGATACAACTTAGAACAAAAGTCGTCAACAGGTGAAAGGCATCTCCAGCAAACACGCGCCAGAGGGAGATGCTAGAAGGCAGACACCTCATGCTCAGGGACTGACAGAATTAACCCAGCAAAAACTACCAAGAGCTATCTACAGATTAAACGCAATCTTCACGACATCTAATGACACACTGGTTCTCCCTCCCTCCCTCTCCCTGTAATTTCTATGAAGTATAACAAAGAAATCACGTGGTCGTGTGATGAGCACGAGAGTTCACATTAGATACTGAAGAGTTTTTAAAGTAGACAATTACATAGAAAACAACTAACATTTAATATAAAACAAATTGTAAAACTTATTTCATCAGCTGACAGTGGTGGTGCACACCAGCAGCCGGGAGGCAGAGACAGGTGAATCTCTGCGAGTTTGAGATCAGCCTGGTCTACATAGGCTGTAGTTCCAGGACAGACAGGGCAACACAGAGAAACCCTGTCTTTGAAAAAAAAAAAAGTTATCTGATCAATAAATAAAGATGTTTTGTTTTTTATGTAACCAGTAAAATATGATTTTAGTGGAATCTATGGTAGAATATCTGTTTAATTCTTAGGATAATAGATAGTTAAGTTCACTATATTACTTACAAGAATTTCACATTTTGGAAAACTAAGAAATTTTCTCTCTTGTAAACTTCATGACAAGCAACAAAGGCCAAAATTCAAGTACATCTCTGTATCATAAACAGTGAAAACATTTATTTAAAGCTAGGCCATCATGGCTGGGTAAATGGTTCAGTGGGTAACGGAGCCTGCTCTAAGCCCAACTACTTGAGCTGGATCTTGGGGACCCACATGGCGGAAGGAGACTGACTTTCCCAAGTCAGCACCCAACTTCAACACACATGCCAAGGCATGTGCTCAATAAGCGCACACTCGCATAGAGTGAATGTCACAGGACGTTAAACACTGATAAATGAAATAAACCAAGATGGCGCACCTCAGATTGGAGAGCTCCTGTTCCCACTCCGCCTTTTCATGCTCTAGCAGTGATCTTACTTCTTTTGTTTCTGATACTTCCTTCTGCAATTCCTTAAATTTATTTTCCATTCTTTTAAGTTTTCCTGTAAGTAGTTCACAACGGCTTCTTTTAAATTCTATTAATCTTTTATAGGAATAAACTGCGTCCCGGATTTTCAGTAGACTAACAATATCTGAAGCGGGGAAAAGAAGAGACAAATAAAATGAGCGAGCATATTAAAAGACTGCATTTCTATATTCCTTACACACCGATGGAACACACAGTAGATGCCGAGAGTGTGAAACACGTTACCTAAGCTCTGCAGATAACACAGGGAAGACCCTTGCTCCTTTCCAGCTGAAAAGAAAATATGGAATTATACATCTAGTGTTTTTTCATATGAAACTGGATAAAACTGGAGATCTTCATGCTAAGCAAATTAGGCTAAACTCAGTCAAATGTTCCATGTTAGATTTAAAACGGAAAGCACAAAGCATTTAAGGGGCCTCTTTCAGTCTACTTTTAGCCAGGTTGAGGAAGCAGCTATAAACCATGTTTCCACTTCAAACAACCCATATGAACACAGTTAAAGAATCTCAAATAATAATTCTCAGGACAATGGTCCTTAGCAGACAGGGAGTAAATGGACGCTATGAATGTCCCAGGTCTCTGGCTCTCACCACATTAGGACAAAGAGCTGAGGTAGCGCTCCTTAGACTTCAGACAAGCGTGAGAACACAGGACAGAGCAGGGAGGAGGCAGCAATGCAGAGGAGCACCCTGCAGGTCTGCGGAGGGCCCCTGGAATACTTCGCCAAGCACTGAGCAAGGGGCGTATAGGAGGAAACTACATGAACCAAGGATAAAACACCTGAAAAGGTTACATGAAATCTCATTGCTCCCACAGGACCAAGAAGAATATCTACTCTGCTTAGTCAGACTGGACAAACACAAGATAATGGATACAGATCAGAAAGGGGTTCATCATAGCAAGGAAAATAAGCACATAGAAAATGTTCAACATTTATCAGCAGTATAAGGCACTTTAAGACCATGATGATATACATATCATACACCTCTAACAATAGCTAAGACTTAAAATACTGACAAGCGTGTTTGTGAAGACAGAGCCCCGTGTTTGTGAAGACAGAGCCCTGGATCTCTCCTATCCTGTGGACTGGAAAACAGGAGCACGGGAGAAGAGCAGAGGCTTTTGTGAGAGACTGGCTAATTATCTTGATTATGGTGTTTATTAGGTATGTGCTTAATACACATGTTGAAACTAACCAAATGGCCCTTTATATATCAATATGCCTTGCTGATGCTGTGCAAAATAAAAGAGGCTACTGCAAGAGCAAGCTTCTAAGACAGCAACTAGGACACGGAAAAGGGAGGAGAAAACTAAAGGATTGAGAAACCTAACCTTGTAGCCAAGGGTTGATGTGATCAGATCAGAATCTTTGCAACTACACAATTACAGTGAGAGAGAGAGAGAGAGAGAGAGAGAGAGAGAGAGAGAGAGAGAGAGAGACTGTTTGCATGAAGCGGGCTAGCAGGGGAAACAGCCCTCTAGTTTCATGGTACTCTAGACAGAGACCAGGTGTCTTGGGTTACTCTGCTATGAAACACTGACCAAAGCAACCTGGGGAGGAGAGGGTTTATCGGGTTTATGCTCCACATCACCGTTCAGCATCAAAGGAGTCAGGACGGGAACAGAAGCAGGGCAGAATCCTTGAGGAAAGAACTGATGCAGTGTCCATGGAGGGGTGCTGCTTACTGGCTTGTGCCACATGACTTGCTTAGTACAGAATACCGGCCCAGGGTGGTACTACCCATAGTAATTTGGACCCTCCTGCATCAATCACTAATTAAGAAAAATGTTCTATAGGTTTGCCCATGGCTGAATCTTATAGAGGCCATTTCTCAATTGAGGCTCCCTCCTCTCCCATGACGTCAGCTTGTGTCAAGTTGACATATAACTAGCCAGCACACGAGGTAACCTCATCTAGTGATAATAAGGCACAGAAGAAAAGCAAGATCAACGAAAAGACTGGATGCGTCAGTCCTACAAAGGAAAGCCCAGTGAGCGTGACTACAGTACTTTGGCTGAGGGTCACATACTACTGTAACATGAAGTCTATTTCTACATGCACAGCGGTGTACTGGGTCAATGCGAAGCGAAGTATGCATGTATTACCATGTGCAGAAAGGCTGACCATTCATTCACACAAGTGTCATACCTCTACACTCCAGCCTGAGATGCTCGATTTCACACAAAACGCTCTCATAATCGGGGCCCTGGAGCTCACAGTCCTCGGAGGCGGTTTCAGACGACTCGGTCAAGTCATTGATGTCGTCCACAGCAGCTACTTGCTTTCTGACCTACAAAATAAACACTATTTTAAACTGTTTCCCTAATATTTACATTATACATGAAATAATGCTTTATACAAGCAGAAACAGACATTTCTTAAAAGAGCTGGCAGTTGGCAGAAGGATGCCTTTATTTATGGCACTGCTTCTTCCTTTTTAAGGCCAAGTCTTTCCATAACACTTATTTTTTCACTTTATATTTCTTATCTTTTAACTTATATATCACTACCTTTCATAATTTATTTTAAAACAAAATATCAGTTTTTATTATTTTTACATTACCTTGTTATTTTTATTAGATGTTTTCTTTGTGGGCCTAAAATAGAAAACAAACCCATAAAAATCCTTTAAGACTAATAGTATGTGAAATACAAAGAATATCTAAGATTATTGACTTTTATACAAAGCCTCTACATTTGAAATTTATTTCTTTCACTAATAAAGTTTACAGGCTATTTAAAATAAAATATTTTTCTATAAGGGAATTTGATTACAAACAGAGAGTAAAAATAAAATAATTATTAATATCATAATAAGGAATTAAAACATATACACACATATTTTTTACTTAGCTGAGGATGACCTTGAGCCTCCTCCCCTGACCACCAGTGCTGGGGATTTAAGTGTGTGCCACCAATGCCCACAGTGGGCTGCTGGCAATCAAATAAGGGTTTGTCTATTCTAGGCAAGCACTCTACCAATAGTCATATACTCAGGGCAGAAAGAATTAAGCTTAGATCAATTTTCTGGTTCTAAAAGTAAAGGAAAAACACGCTATTTACTTTTTGATAGAAATATACAGAGACAGCTGAACCATGCCCGTGGGAACTCATGAAATCGAGACTGACAGCTGTGGAGTCTGCATGGGATGGAACTGGATCCTCTGCCTGTGGGAGACAGGTGTGGAGCTTGGTCTACCTGAGGGGTCTATAGTAGCGGGGCTAGGATCTATCACTGGAGCTTGAACTGGCTTTTTTGAGCCCATTCCCTCTGGTGGGATGCCTTGTACAGGCTCGATGCAGCGGGGAGGGGTTGGTCTCATCTCAACTTAATGTGCCAGGCTTTGTTGACTCCCCATGGGAGCCTTACCCTTTGGGAGGAGTAGATGGAGAGTGGGCTTGGGGGGAATGTGGAGAGGAGGTGGGAGGAAGAATGGGAGGGAGAACTCTGGTTGAAATGTAAGACGAATAAAATATAAATAAACAAACAAAAGAAAGAAACCCTTAGAGGAGAGAGAAAAAAAAAGAAGAAACTAGAAAAGCTTGTTTGGGGTTACTGAGTCGTGAATACATATGAATTTCTTTGCTTATATATAAATTAATTATATGATGATTGTTTTTACAGTTAAAATACCACGTGGGGGGAGAAAAGCTTTATACATTTCTTTTTAGTGTATGTATATGCACGTATGTGTACACATATGTGTTATAGGTCAGAGAACAACATGTATGAGCTGGTTCTCCCCATCACATTCAGGTCCTCGGGCTCGGTGGCAAATGCTGTCATCTAAGCTACACTGCTGGCTCCTATCTGCCGCTCCTGTATCTGCAATAAAATAGTTCTGTGTTTACAGCCAACGTGGGAAGTGCTTCTCCAGTCCTTACATTAGGAAATCTTTTTTTGGGTTGGTTTTGTTTTAAAGATAAGGTCTAACTCTGTAGCCTAGGCAAGCCTGGAATTCAGAGAGTTGTCCAGGCTGGTCTTGAACTCATGATGAGCTAACTGCCTCAGTCTTCCTAGTGTTGAATTACCAGCATAACCCAGGAACAAGATATACAGTGTGAAGAAAATTCCTACTTATCTTCAAGTGTTTCTCAGTAATACAGTAGTAAATGAATCCACACTATTATTCTTTTAGTTGTAATTATTAATAATTTCTGAATCTTATTTCTGAATCAAATATTCTCTAAATAAAAAGACTTATACCTCAATAATTTTGGGAAATTGCTTTGTATGAAAATGTAATTTGCATTACATTCAGGAAATACTGATTACATGATATATATAATGACATTTGCTACAAGGAATTGTTTCTATACTTTTTTATTTTACTGAATTTCTATGCTAGTTTAACTTTCAGAACATCATTTTCATGTTTAATCCCTATTCCATTTCCCAACTTATTTAGAGAAATCTTAACACCAGAATGAATCTTAAAAAAAATCTGAGTAGAAATTCTGAAGACAATTAATAATAACTCTTCAGGGAAAATGTCGTTTAATACCTTAGACACATACCCCGAATCGCACTGAGTAGGCGTACACTTCTCTGCTGATCCCGACACCATGCAAACATATTCTAAACGCCTCCTTTAAAGACGATTCGTAAACCTCACATCTTCCTCCAGCTGTTGCCTACTTTTCTATTATCATTCCCAGCATAGAGATCTGAGGCGCTGTCCACACTGCAGTCAGACAGCCGTGGTGACCCTTTACTGAACCCGCACTTGTCCTGTCTTCCCCTTTCAGTGACACTGGTTAGTTCTTTGTCTGGAGACTTCCACGTTGTGCTTTATTTCCACGACTGATGTGTCACTGCTAATATTCCTTCACAGGGAATAAAGAACTCAGATCTTACCTCGCTTCACTTTGGTCGGTGTCACTTAGACTGGAACCATCCTGCAGGTGTGGTGAACCACCGGGTGGTGAGGCAGACTTCTCAGTCACTGGCATCGCGACAGATTCTCTGGATACCCACTTTTCATTTTCCTTTTTCTTCATTTCCTTCATAAGCAAGGGAGGACCTCTAAAACAATCCATTAAAAAAGCTGGTGTCTTACAAATAATTCTACTGACAAAGATTCAAGAAAAGTAATTTTGGGGAAATTCTGATTCTTTTCCACCTTAATTTACTAAAAACAAAAAAAAAGGCAATTAAACACTAGCTAACAGCAAATGCATAAATATACAATAAAGGCACATGTGATGTTGCAGAGTTGCTATATGAGAAGTTTTATCTGAGGATAAGAAAAGCTTTTCTGAAGAGGTCAAAGTGAGCCTGTTTCCACCCTGGAAGTGTTTCCAGAGAGGGCCTGCCCCTCCCAGCTCCACAGGCCACCTAACTACACAGCCAGCTTCCCAAGCTCTCCTCCCACAGTGCTCACTGCCCAGAGTTTACTCAAGGCAGAGCAACCACACTTGGTGAGCCACACTAGAAGGAAACAGAAGAAAACCAGCAAGGGGGTGATGTTGGATAAAGTCTGTTCATGAAAACTGTAACCTATTTTCAAACCTGCAAGGCATCAATAAAAGTTCCACAAAACAAACCAAGTCTCAATTCTCTTACAACTTAATCCTCTCCTGAACACTGGAAATGCTTACACTGAAAGAAGGTGAGTTGAACAAAAGTTCTAATATAGAAATAAAGATAAAAAACCCAGACATGTGCCCTCAATCTACTAGTTCCACAGCAACAAATACCAATGAGAGCAACCCAGAAGACCACATAGACAAAAAAGGAAAGATTATAATTATGCTGAAACAACCCAGAGGATCTGAATATACCCCAAGAAAACAAAAGCAAAGACCTAAAGCAAATATAAATGCTAATCAATGATATGAAAATGAAATTAAATAAAGAGACAGAATTGCGAGAGAAAAGCCAGACTGAGGTGGTGCTGGGAATGAAACACTCAGGAAGCCAAGCAAACTCCTCAGCGGAAAGAGCCAGGACTGGGTGACAAGGAGGAGAGTTGGACCACTCAGTAAAGGTCAATCAGAAATTTTAGAAAAAAATAAATAAATAAAATAAAATAAAATAAGAAAGGGAATAGAGCATGTGTACAGTTTGGGACACCCTGAAAAGAACTAACCTTCAACAGCTATCTACAACGGGCATCTATAGAAGAAGAAAAATAATACCACAGTGAAGGTGTAAAACAAAACTCCCTAAATCCAGAGAAAGAGATGTCCATCCAAATACAAGAAGCCTACAGAACTTAAAACAGATAGGATTAGAAAAGAAACTCTACAATACACTATAGTCAAAACATTAAAAACACAATAAAGAAATCTGAGAAAAAGGTCAAGTCACATATAAAGGCTGGTCAATCAGAATAACCTGATGATTGACAGAACACTTAATACTTCCCTTTTTAAGAAGCATTTAGATTACCTCCAACTTTAAGATATATTCAAATACATATTCTTAAAATATGCATACATGTAACATATTTAGGTAAATATGCAAAACATATATAACATACCCTTAACATCCATTATGTTAGTTACCTATCATGTGTAACACAATATACAAACATTGTATATGAACGCATGTGCATTTGTAAGTCATGGTCTCCTATTTCAGAGGATTTGATCCCAGAATGACGCTTCAGGCACTAGAAAGGAGCATGTCAGGCTATGATACACGCTGCCGAACCAACTGCAAAAGTACTTACCATTCCACTTGTCAGCAGTCAGAATGCCTCCACTTTTACCAATTCTAATTATTTTCTAAAATATTAATTAATGTAAGTAGAAAAAACATGTCCTTTTATGTTTTTCTGATAATCATGTAAGGCTGAATATGTCTAATATATGCATAACATTATTTAATAGTGAACAGTAGTCCAAATTAGAACAGGTTTTATAGGACAGTAACAAATACATATACACTGCTAAATACTGCATAATCTTACCTATCATGTTCTTTATTTCCCTTCATAGGAAACTGCTGGTCATCAGTTTTTCCACTCTGCTGATTTACTCCATTCTCAACACTGTCAGTAGCACCATTGTACAGACTTCCTGATAATTTTGCTTCGTTATTTTTGTATTTTCTTTTTTCTTCAGCCTTTAAAGAAAAGTTGACAGCAAGGATAACTTACTTTTCAAAAGACTTTTTTGTGAGGGCTCCACGGCTAAGAGTACTGATTTGATTTGGTTCCCAGCACTCACACGGCAGCTGCCAACTATCCCCAGGAATCCAGCGTCCTTTTCTGCCCTCTGACGGCACCAAGCATGCACACAGCACACATACATACATACAGGCCAGACACACCCACAAGCAAAATAAAATAAAAGTCATTATTCAATAGAAGAGGAATTATTCTTTTTAAAAGCCCTTAGTTTTCACTGATTTTTACCACTTGACAGTTTAGCCATGACTTAGATTTGACACTGGAGACTTATGTTTTGTATATTGAGAAAGATGGATGATATGCAAAATTTTATTCTCAGGAGTTCTTCTTTAAGGATGTAGATTAAAAAAAGAACCTTACTTTTAAATACTGAGTACACACAAAGAAAAACTAGAAAACAATTGAGATTTTCACTGGTAAACTAAATCACTAGGCTGTAACTAGGAAGTACGAGCTGACTTATCTCACTCTAAAGCAGGATGTTATGAAGCAGCAGACTGAACGTGTCTATTGTTTGTCTGCACTATATTTACATGCCACCCTTATGAAAAACAACTTAGAGGAGGGTTTTGTTTTAATATTCCAAGGCTTACCTCATCATTCATTAAAGAGTACACCGGCCCTTTTCCTAAAGCTCACTAAGTGGGGAGGAGGCACACTATTAAGTGCCGAAGTCAATAAATAGCAATTAAACAGAAGAGCAACACCAATTTCCACTATAAACAACGATGGTGTATTCACTGATATTAAGTCCAGATCTAATAGTCTCTGTTCGATGGGCACGGTGGATGAAACCATTTAGAATATCTACCAGTTTCTAACAATGAAATAAAATTTGAAAGTTAATGCATTTATCCCAATACCTCAGGCCTCACTCCAGAGGTATGAACTCTCTTAACAGGCGACTGAGGTTGTTTTATGTGCTGGCTGGAGAACAGTTTAGCTATTTTGAGGGCACTGAGAGCGGAGTGAAGGATGCATGCATGCAAACACACCTGTGTGTGCATGAGTGTGGACATGAGTGTGAGTCCTGAGGCCAGACAGAAACGTTGGTGTCTGCTCTGATACTCTGCCTTACTCTACTGACACACAGCCTTTTACTGAAGCTGAAGCTTTTCATTTCGGTGCTGGCTACTGAGCTCCCAGAATCAGCTATCACTGCCCCAGTGCTGGGGTTATCAATACACATGTCCATGTTAGGCTTTTTGTAATGAGTGCTGGGGATTTGAACTCAGGTCTACAAATTCTTATACAGTGAGTACTTCTATCCAAAAAGAATCTCCCTAGTCCTATTTTAAACTTGATAACTAGTTATAATGTTTTTAAAATGAAGTATTAGGGGCTAGAGAAATGGTTCATTGGTTAAGAGCACATACTCTTGCAGAAGACTGAGTTTGGGTCTCAGGACACTGTTAAGCTAATATCTGCACATAATTCCAGCTCCAAGGGATCCTATACCCTCTTCTGCCCTCTGCAGGCACCTGCACACATATGCACTTGCCCCCCATGGAATAAAAAATTTTTAAATTAAATATTATAATATACTGATTCTAAAAGGCTAGTCTGAATGATACTCATCCAACATGTTGTAACACAGAGTCATGAGCACAGAAAATCTGGACTAAGCTTTCACATACCTTTTGCTGGCTGTCTTCACTGCCACTGAGCCTTTTCTGCTCTTCTAAGTCTGGTTCTGCAGACAAATGCATATTCGGATAAAATAAACTTAACTAGATAAAGTCTTTATAAATATAGGAAAATAAACAAAAATTGTTTAATCATTAGCTACAAAGTTAAATATTTACTACCTTAGGAAATACTTTCAATTATTCAAAACTTCAACAAACCATTCAGAGACACTACCTGGAACCAAATTCACTGCATATAAAAATCTCAAGGATTCATGCACAAATTCCCTCAACATAAATACATCCTGGAAAGAGGCACTAAAAATACCAGAGAAACATAACCTCACAGTGCACACCATTCTTTCTCCTACAGTGACTCAGGCTTCTGGAATCACTGCACTTCTCACACCTCTGCCGCTGAACACTGCTACACCTGAAATGTTCCCGCCACTATGCTGATGGATTTCTGTCATTTTAAGACTCAAGTCCACTCTGTGAAGCTCCGAGTGTCTGCACACACGCACACGCGCGCGCCCCCCCCCCCCCACTGCATCCATGGTTCAAGTGATCCTCACTACAGCTTCCTAAGATGTTAGGTCCACAGGTAAGCAGCACTGTGTCCAACTCTCCAGCAAGTATTTTCAAAGTTTGGGAGGCTAAAAAAAAAATCTTACAATCTCATAATTAATCTTTATGAATCCCCAGAAAGTATCAGGATTCTGAAATATTACAGTAAGGACGTCTGAATTGAAGCTTGCATTTAAAAAATCCTTTTTGTTCTTGTAAGGACACTTAAAAACAGATAGTGACAATTATGGGGCCAAAAGAAAGGAGCCACTGCCACAGTATCTGGCTATGTCCCTAGTCAGCGGAGAAGCAGGGAGTCAAGAGCAATGACTACTAGCTGCTGAACAGTGGTTCTCATCCTAGGGTTGAGACCCTCTGTTTTAGGGGTCTCAGATCAGATATCCTGCATTACCAGATAGTTACATTAAGTAACATCGAAATCATTTTATGGCTGAAGGTCAGCACAGTATGAGGAACTGTATTAAAACATTAGAAAGGTTGAGGACCACTGCATTTGAGACTTCTCTTTTCTCAGCTGTAAACCTACAGTTTCTAGGGGTCTCACCAGAAACCCTGTTTACACTAAATGATATAACCCCTTTGCATGGCTCTTGTTTAGACTTATAATTCCATTCAAGGGGCTTTGGGAGTCACCTTATAATCTTATTATCAAAACATGAGACAAGTGGAAGGGGGGAAAAAAGGTTTCTAAAAGCCCTTTGCAATGGATGTAACTTGAGAGCCACTGTCTGGCTAACGATTAAACACCATGGTTCCCTGAGAAGCCCACATCCACACTTGTGCATGTCTTCCTCTTTCCCTGAGAGTCTCTCTTTTGACTCCTCTGCTTAGGAGCTACACTCAGAAGGTCTTGTAGTAAATTACGACTCAACGAGACGTGCATATCCAAGCTTAGCTGTGCTTTCATTCATTTCCTGAATGTCTTCTACTTTTAGCAAAACCCCAATTCTGCTTCATCCTGGCTAGCCCTAAAACTTTTTTTTTGTATGTGTGTGTCAAAGCCACAAACTCAGAGTTTGACTGAGTTGAAGTCCCTAAGCGTTTCTGGGAACTCCTCCGACCTCCAAGGGTGAGAGTGGGGAACTGTGTTCCTTACCACTGACGGATACCAATAATAATGTCCAAACTGGGAGTAAAAAATGTTTAGGAATCAGAAGACTGAGCATTTCCAATATTTAGTGTACCTTCCCCTAGAGTATTACACAATTTACCTGATTTGAACATTTGTACATCCTTCATTCCTGCTGTTTTGTTCAGAACAGGATCCGGCTTTTTGATGCCAGGCTGGATGGGTTTGGAAACAGTTAACTTGTTAAAAGTAATTTGTTAAATTGCTAAATACATATTTAAGAAATATATATTTCATAACATGTAGTTAAAATTTATGATGAAAATATTATTATACCTCCATGACTGGATACTTCCTGAGGGTCTCTAAAAAGCAAAGGGGAAATTATATGTAATTAAAAACATGGTACACCAACTGTCTATTTATGCAGTTACCATTATCAACCCTGCCACCCTCCTCTGCTTAGACCAGCAACATGTCAGAAATATATTCAATAAGGAACAAGAGGGTAAGTTTGACAAATCATGCAGGAAGGACTCAAAGTGAGGAGTTTCCAATGACTGTAACTAAAACAGAACCGGGTATTTGCCGATGTCAACATGCCGATGAGCAGACAGAAATGTGACCGTTAGTCAGCGGACCGAGTTACAACTGCGACGATTATTTCAGAGACGATGGCAAAAGCGTGTCTTAATACAGCACACCAGGATGGCTCATTAGATTATACTACAAGCATTTATCACGTTCTTCAATTCACCCTACAATTTAGAAAGTACAAAGATGGGCTAATAGTTCAGTTGAAAGTAGAATTCACTTCTCAACAGGGAAAATTTTCTAAATTGACTAGGTTGGATATATACTTGTAGAATAATAGGTAATAAAAATACCAGTTTTTTTCCATACCCTTGTGGGCTACTGGAATGCCTACATTTCTTGATTCCTCTAGTTTAGCCATCTTAAAGTTTCTTGATCCACTCATGCAAGAAGGTATATAAGCCACATCTAAGAAATAATGTACGTGTTTTTAATATTAAAGGATTACCAAAAGGAAAAAGTAAACTGAGTTGTTAGATATTGGCATCATATATATTAATAAACTTTTATTTCAAAATTGGTTTAATATTTAAATTAGCAATTAAGAGATGAACCATATTGGCGCACACCTTTAATCCCAGCACTCGGGAGGCAGAAGCAAGCAGAGCTCTGTGAGTTCAAGGCCAGCCTGGTTTACACAGCGAGTGCCAGGACAGGCTACACAGAGAAACCCTGTCTCAAAAATCAAAAAAAAAGAAATGAACCATAATTTTGAGCTTTAAATTCGTTTGCCTTGGCTGTCAACTATGTTAGTCTTTAACAGATTTTCATGAAACAACTACTTCATCAGAAAATTAGCTATCTGGAAAGACAGCAAAGGCTTTCACATTTAATCACTCTAATCTAACTAATGTAATAGTGAGACCTGACGCTTGCTAGGTATTCAGAGGACAGCTGAGTGGCTGCGGTAAATCAAATGCTAACACCACTTCTAACTCCAGCAACATCCGAAGCACAATAACCTAACGTGATGCCAACGTACTGACGCCACCACGAGTTCCCTAGCATTCCCTCTTCATCAGCTCCAACACAGATGTGCTCCTCCCTCCAGCTCCAGGAGACCCCACACCCTCACAGACATACATGCAGGCAAAACACCAGTGACCATAAAATAAAAATTCCTAAGGTCAAAATTCAGTATGTTGATAAAACATGGAACCTGGTTCTCTGGTATTAACAATATGGCATTCTAAAAACACTGATCTACTTTTTGTAACATTCACAGAAAACTGGCCTACATTTCCTGAATGAGTCATTTGGGACTCAGTGACTCAATTTGATCCAAATGTTAAATCTGGCTGCTTTCTCACTGGACAAAGTGACCAACATAAAGTAGGAAAATTTCTATTAAGAATGATTCCCTCATTCTATGGGCTATCTGCTTGCTCTGTTAAGTTCTTTTGCTATGCAGAAACTGGACTCCATGCAGCCCCTCTAGTGGTATCTGGGGCTTCCCCTGTGCTGCTGAAGTCCTATTCAAACTTCTTACTCAATTCAAAAGTATTCAAAGGTTTTCTGTCTTTGCTTGGACAGCTTTTGTTTTTGCTTTTTCAAAAGAGGGCCTCACTGAATAGTCCTGTCCTGGAACTCACCATGTACATTAGGCTGGCCTCGAACTCTCAGAGATATTTCTGCCTCTGTCTCTGCCTCTGAGTACTGGGGCTAAAGGCATTGGCCGCCATGCCTGATTTCCCTTATGTTTCCTTTTAGAAGTCTTAGAATTTAAGGGTTTGTTTTAAGGCCTTTGATGCTCATCTCAAACTGATTTTGTACAGGGAGAGGCACGAATCTAATCTCACTCTTCTGCAGGCAGATATTCAGTCCTGTCAACACCATTTGTTAAAAGGTCTCTTTTCCCAATGAATGTTTTAGACTTTGTCAAAGATTAGGTGGCCATAGTCTGCTGGTCTACCTCTGGTCTTCCAGTCTGCTCAACTGCTCACATGCATGTTTTTATGCCAGGAGGTCTGCCTTGAGCATTCTAGCTCTATAAGTGTAATCAGAGATTACACACTCAAATATCAAAGTGTAATATTTGAGATCAGATATTGTGATACCTCCAGCTGCATTACAATTCCTTAGGATTGTTTTGGTTATTTGTGGTACTTTATGATTCCTTATAAGTTCTTAGATTTTTTTTCTATGTTAGTAAAATATGACATGGGGGTTTTGATGGTTATTACACTAAATCTGTAGGTTAATTTTGGTCACACTGTCATTTTCATGATATTAATACCACCAGTCCAGGAGCATGGAAGTTCTTTCCATCATCTGGCATCTTCTTGGGTTTTTTTTGTCAAAGTCTTGACATTCTCATTGGAAAGGCCTTTCACATCTTCAGTTAGGTATATTTCATGTATACTTAATTCTTCAAAGCTATTATAAATGGGATATTTTTCTTAATTTCTTTTTCTGAGAGTATACTGCTAATGTATATGAAGGTTACTTTACCAACTACTTCAAAAAAGAGGGCCAATATATAGAATTTACAAAGAATTGCAGAAGTTAAATACCAAAGAAACAAACTATCAATCAACAAATGGGCTAATAAAATGGATAGCTTTCAAAAGAAATACAAATAGTTAATAACTCTTTAAAAGTCTTGAATATCCCTAGTCATCAGGGAAACACCAATTAAGCTACTCTTAGATTCCACTTCATCCCAATCAGCATGACTGCCTTCAAGAAACTGGAGAAGCCGGGTGGTGGTGGCGCACACCTTTAATACCAGCACTTAGGAGGCAGAGGCAGGTGGATCTCTGTGAGTTTGAGACCAGCCTGGTCTACAAGAGCTAGTTCCAAGGCAGGCTCCAAAGCTACAGATAAAGCACTGTCTCAAAAACACAAAACAAAACAAAACAAAACAACAACAACTAATGAAGTAAGTCACAAAACAATCCCACACCAGTTTGGAATTATGATTAATAAAAAGGGTTATTTATTCAAAGGGAAAAAAAACTTACAGATCACCGTCCTAGGCAACGGCCTCCTGCATGACCAGGAAAAGCATCTGATAGCCAGAAGCGGAATCTGAAGCAAGAGAGCGAGCGGAGGGCTGCTGTTGCTTTTTAAAGCAAAAGATACCACACCCCAGTGGGCTGGTATCTCAAAGGCTATTGGCTGAAGGAGCAAAAGTAGCTCCCGCAGCAAACAACAACAACAAAAGAAATCGGAGTGGATGAGAGATGAGTGCACTGCTGAACCCTCAGCAAGAAGCTTTTTTGAGCAGAAGACGGAATCAGCACAGAGACCTAGAACTGGACAACGTGCCAAGTGAGAGATTTTGGAGCACTCAGCCCCAAAAGGGATGTCTTTATCAAGTCCTTACTCTCAAGGCTCAGAGATCTCTGCGGAAGAGGAGGTGGAATGATTCTAAAAGCCAGAGGTGGTGGATGACTCCAAGGGAAATGACGTCCTCCAGACACAATAGGGCTGGCAGACACATGAACCCACAGAAACTTTGAGAACATGCACAAGACACGCACGTGTTCAAGTAAGACAAGATCCCAGAATAAAGAAGAAGGGGAAGGGGACACAAAGTGCCACCCCTAACCAAGACACTGTTTACAATCTATGCCTGCTGGGAGAGGGAAATCAGTTTTCTCCAAGGGAGGGTCACCGGGTATGTCAGCCATACTCCAGGGCAGGCTCCATGCTCAGGAATAGTCGGCCAACACAAAACAGATTCCATGGTTCTTGTACTTTTGTTTGTTGGCTGGTTTTTGTTTTGTTTTATTTTTGAAGAACATGAAGTTGAGTGGGTAAAAAGGAAGAGAAAGGATACGATCAAAAAATATAGTATATGAAAAAAATTTCAGCCACTAAATAAAATGAATATTCTTAAATTACACTAGGAGATATCAAATGCATAAAAAAGAAATTCTCAAAGAATTAAAAAGTATTTAAAAATAAAAATGAAAGAAATAGACACAATTATTAAGAGACTTTTAAACATGGTAATTAAAAACTCAGAATTGTTTAGCACCTTTCCAAAGTGAGCTTCCAGGGGAGAAGAAATTGGTAGATCAAGAACTAAAAAAAAAAAGAGGGCTCCATCAATTGAGAAAGACGTCATCCAGCCTAGAAAGTAAGGACTCCACAAAACACTGGTATCCACCTCCTGCACTCAAACCATGAGATAAACTCTTATCTCACCTCCCAACTTGCACCACCCTTGAAGAGCACATCCAGAGGACTTTCGCTAGGTGACACCCATCTTCCGCTACATTGACAACTGTCTTCCTCAAGCAACTGACTCAAAACCCAGGTAACAAAAATTCTCTCACAGCTGAACGGTGGTGGCGCATGCCTTTAATCCCAGTACTCAGAAGGCAGAGGTAGGTGGATCTTTTTCAGTCTGAGGTCAGCCTGGTCTACAAGAGCTAGTTCCAGGACAGGCACCAAAGCTACAGAGAAACCCTGTCTCGAAAAAAAACATTATGCTTATGTTTTTTAATTATAAAAAAAACATTATGCTTATTAATTATGATTATGCTTCTTAAATAATTCAACATTTAGGTATTAATTTTATTGATATATTCATAAATGACAAAAATGTTAATTTTGGCTTTAGTAAGACCACACTGAAGACAAGATGTGTGGTCCTTCCATTAATCATAATTTTGCAATGTCTGTCTACTTACTCGGACATACTAAATTACTTAAAGAAAGTCTTACATGTTTAAAGACTCCACTTTTATCACTATCTTCTAACAAGAACTCTTGCATTATTTATTATAAGTTATACTTTTTAAATTAAATAATATTCCTATTTCACCAGTGAGAGGAAAATGGACATTACCAAGTGACTCCTGTTGATATACCATGTATTTCCCTTCCTACTTATAAAATAAGAAGATTTGGCTCTACCTATAAAACCTATGAAATCTTAATGTGTTCTTCTGTCTCTATTATCTGATACACAAAAATAGACAATTTTTGTAGAGGGAAATTAAAAGTCAAACTATATTATTATTTGCTTTCTTTTATAATGTGAATTTCCACTTGGCTACTCAAACTAAAATGTAATATAATACCAAGATAATCGGACAGATGAAGTAATTATCCCCAAGTAATTATAAGAGGCAGGAGAGATGACGTAGCACTTAAGAGCACTTACTCCTCTTACAGAGGACCTCATTTTTGTTTTTTGCACCCACATGGCAGCTCACAACTGATGGAGGAGGGTTAACTGTCTATGTGTTACTTTCATTGGTTAATAAAGAAACTGCCTTGGCTTTTGATAGGACAGCAACTTAGATAGGTGGAGTAGACAGAACAGAATGCTGGGAGGAAGAAGGCAATGAGGTAGATGCCATGACTCTCCTCTCCGAGAGAGCCGCAGGTTAGAATCCTCCTGGTAAGCCACCACCTCGTGGTGCTACACACATTAATAGAAATGGGTTAATCAAGATGTGAGAGTTAGCCAATAAGAGGCTGAAACTAAAGGGCCAAGCAGTGTTTAAAAGAATACAGTTTCCGTGTAATTATTTCAGGGGTAAAGCTAGCTGGGAGGCGGGCGGCGGGAAGCAACCCACCGCTCCTTCTACACACCACTGGCACTACAAGTCCAGGGGATCTAATATCCTCTTCTGGCCTCCATGTGAACTCCAGTCTACATGGGTGCACATAATCCCTCACAGGCAAATTCACATACATTTTTTTTTTTTTTTGATTTTCGAGACAGGGTTTCTCTATAGCTTTTGGAGCCTGTCCTGGAACTAGCGCTTGTAGACCAGGCTGGCCTAGAACTCACAGAAATTTGTCTGCCTCTGCCTCCTGAGTGCTGGGATTAAAGGCGTGCGCCACCACCGCCTAATAGAAATCTTTAAAGAAAGAAGTAGGATCAGATTTAGACCAATCTTTTCTAAAATTAGAACTAGGTAATCCACATGAAGTTAGGTCTCTGGGTTTGAACTGGCAAGAAGAAGAGACAAAATAATACTATGAACTTCAAATACTATGAACTTCAAACAAAACAGTTCGCAGAGTACAAATGACCATGTACACAAGAGGGAAATACAGTCAGGCTGGTCAGAGGGTGATTTGTTTTAATCAGTTAAGAAGGCATGTTTCCTTTACTTCAGGATTTACTTTTATTTTCCTTTTTAACTTTAGGAATAATACTCCTGCTATACTTATATGTCACATGAACACATTTTGTAAGATATAGAGAGACAATTAATAAATAAAACTCAGATCCTAATGGCTCAGATATGATATGATTCAGGATTTCCCCCCCAAGGCTCTACCCACTCTTCCTAGAGATGCATTTCTGCTACTCATCCCCATCTTTAGAAGATTCTAGAAGTGCGTCTTCCCAGGACCACAGGACATCCAAGCATAATTGACTTTCCATGCAGAAATTGAGATGTTTGGCCAACTGGGAGAACTGTCAACTAACGTTCTCAGGGAAAAAAGTCACATTTCTGTTAAAGATTCCAGCAACTGAGAGCCACAACCCTGACGTCACAGGTCCAGAACCAAACCATCTCGGGCTGTCTTTAGCACTCTCAACAGCCATTCCAACCTCACCTCAGGATCTGACCTGAGTCCTTGGTCAACATGGGAAAGTATGAACTCGTGTTTACAGAAAAAGCCACGCTACGTTAAACACTCCACACGGCTGACAGAAGAGCAATAACCATAGAGAACTGGAATGGTGCAGGTCCAGAGCCAATCAGTTTGAGCCCCCACACTGTCAGCTGTTTACCGTCCATCTCTGTCTCTGTCCCATCATCCCTGTGACTACCAAGGACACTTTTGAAATGTACAGACCCATAGATTACACCAACTCAAAGGCTGAGAACATTATTCAATATCATCTGATGCCTGGAACAGAGACTTTCTATAACCCATTCCCCTGATATCTCTACCATGTACTATGGTGGGTGGGTGTGTGGTGGAGAGGGAGGGAAGAGAGGACTGAGTGCATGTGTCTACAGGAACACATAGAGCCCATGGCTGTTCAGATGCTGTCCACTGTGGTTTTTTGTTTTTGTTTTTTTTTTGTTTGTTTGTTTGTTTTTGTTTTTTTGTGGAAGTAGTTCTTGGTGTTTTTGAGACAGAATCTCTCACTGACTTGGTACTTTCTGAGCAGGCTAGGCTGGCTAGTCAGCAAAGCCTACAGATCTGCCTGTCTTTGCCTTCCCTGCCCAGAATTACAAGCAAATGCCACCTTTTATTTGAGGCAGGGATTACTTTATTAACATGTGTTGTGAAGTTTAAATGCAGGTCCTCAAGCTTGCACTGCAGACACAGAAGCAGAGGCAGCTTCCAGCAGGTAGTTTTGTTTGTTTGTTTGTTTTGAGACAGAGTTTCTCTGTCAGGACAGCCCTGGCTGTCCTGGAGCTAGCTCTTGTAGACCAGGCAGGCCTTGAACTCACAGAGGTTTGCCTGACTCTGCTGGGATTAAGGGCGGGCACCACCCCACACGGCAAACGCTGTTCTCATCTACAGGCTGACTGTACTTCCCCACCAATCAGGAAGCATGCCCTTCTTGCATCGTCTGTCCTCTGCACCCACTGCTGTCCTTGTCTTTAGTGCCCTTTCCCTCAAGCTTGGGAGCTGCCTCCAGTGAACTAAAGGTGCCAGGCAGCTCTTAGCAACACTCCCAGTACCCTGCTGCTGGACCTTGGGAATTCATACACAATTTACCACTGCTTCCTTCTATGAACTCAGATGACAACACACGATACTCTACATAGAGACCCGTCAGATGGCTTTAAATAAAGCAGTTCTTACCTTCTACCTGTCCGTGTACTCTCGTCTCTCCTGTCGGATCTGCAGCACCATAGAAACGCCCTACACCTTTCAGTGAAACACTGTCAGAGATACTCTGTGGAAGCAGACATCAGAATGAGTTACATACGGATTTCTTAATCGTTTTCTAAAGTAGTTCAATTTCCTGTTGAAACAGTTAGAAAAATAAGACAAGCACTCACTGATAAGAAATATGCCAATAAAAGAAACTCTCTAAATTTGCTCTCTAGATCAAACCTAACTTTGCTCTGCATCTATGAAGGAAAGCATGAAAGATCAGAAGAACATATTCATAAAAATATTAATTTATTTTTATGTTTCAGTGAGCAACAAAGCTCAGAATACTTATATTACTTCTTACTCTCCATGTAATGTAAGGGGACAATTTAAGAAAACAGACGTTTTAAGACAGTATGAAACACTTAAAATGTACCCAATGGTAGAAGTTTAAAGTCAAAATAAGAAGGCACACATGGTGAGAAACTTCAGAGTGTGCCACACTGGTTACACACAGAGCATGGTAGAAGCTCTTATATTTAGGTAAAGGAAAGCTTAGAAAAATCTAAAAATTTTTGTGTAAAATTTTTACTACCAGCAAAAATGGCTGAATAAAAACAATAAAGAAAACCTTTTGTTTGCATAAATAAAAGCCAAAAAAAATCAGGTGTAGAACGTGACCCCTTCTCAACCAAAAAGGAACTTCTAAAATATGCAGTAAGCTTTGATAAGGATATAAAATATTTAAGTGTTTAAAATGTGCTAGGGAATTATTTTGTATATAGTATATTGTGTGTGTGTGAATATCAGACTTCGTGCTTCTGAATCATCTCAGGACATTTAGAGCAAACGATGAACAAATGTGATTTACTGTTCTTTGGAACGTTCTGGACTCTCATGGGCTGGCTGCTGCTTCCATCCTCTAGGTGGGAGTCTAAATGTCATTCTAGAAAGGCCACCTCCACTCCGCCTGAAATCCAAACTCCCTCCTACTTTCTTTATACGAAGCAGTTAGACTGACTTGCAATGTCATTTGGTCCTCTGTTCTATTGTTACTTGAGCACTGAGCCCTCATCTGCAATATTCAGCATCTAACTGCCTCCGACGTAATGGTAACTCAGTCACAGAAATGTGTTCAAGGGCACAGCATTCAAGCTCTCGTTAGAAAGACCGCATGTACCGAATCACCAGATTCTTCTAGGTTACCTCAGCCAATGGTTTATTGAGACTTACCATTTCCAGACTGGAAATGTGCCTCCCCTCCTACCTCCCCATTCTTTTCTTGACACTACTTCTCCACTGCCCTCTCATAGGAAACTGGCCCTCAGTGTCCATCTCCTTTTGCAGAGCACTGGGATCTTGCTGCTACATATTTGCAGACACCTGTTACACCTCAAAGCTGTTTATGTCCTCACCACACCTGTGCACCACACAGCTTTATGGCACAACAAAGTCACTGATGTTCAGACAGGTTAACTTCCCCACCCCCCAAATTCTATAAATATTAAA